GCGGGGGGTTAAACGGTGCCCGCAGTCTGTACAGGGCTAATACAGACCTTGGCCGCTGCTCACCTCCCGCTGTGCGGCTATGCCTAAAGCAGGGCCGACAGGAGGAGCGGAACTAATGTCTCCGGTTGACAAGCAGGAAGCTCCGCTGACACAGGGACACCTCCCCGGCCAGCTGCTGCACTGAAGGGACAATGGTGGCCTCTCTTCTTCACCCGCTGGCACACTGTGACAGCTCTGTAGCGGCAGTGGATGGTGCTGTCTCTGCTGGACAGGCTGTTTCTTTGCTGGACAGGCTGCCTCTTTGCTGAATGGAATGTTTCTTTGATGGACAGGCGTTCTCTTTGCTGGACTGGCTGTCTCTTTGTTGGATGTGCTGTCTCTTTGCTGGACAGCTGTCTCTTTGCTGGGTGGGCTGTTGCTTTTCTGGATGGGCTTTCTCTTTTCTGGAGGGGCTGTCTCTTTGCTGGACAGGCTGTCTCTCTTTGCTGGAAGGCCTGTCTCTTTGCTGGATGGGCTGCCTCTTTGCTGGAGGGGCTGTCTCTTTGCTGGACAGGCTGTCTACTGGACGGTCTGTCTCTTTGCTGGAATGCCTGTCTCTTTGCTGGACAGTTGTCTCTTTGCTGGACGGGCTGTCTCTTTGCTGGACGGGCTGTCTCTTTGCTGGAAGGGCTGTCTCTTTGCTGGATGAGCTGTCTCTTTGCTGGACTGGGATGTTTCTTTGCTAGACTGGGCTGTCTCTTTGCCCAGTTGGATCCAGCAAAGAGACATCCCAATCCAGCAAAGAGACAGCCCAGTCCAAGAAGGGATATCCCCATCCAGCAAAGAGACATCTTTGTCCAGAAAAGAGACATCCTGTCTTTGCTATATATTTGCTGTGTTGTTAGGGGTGCTGTGTTATGTTAAGGGGTGCTGTGTTGTGTTGTGTTAGGAGACGCTGTTTTGTTAAGGGGTGCTGTGATGTAAAGGGGGGCAATGATGTGAAGGGAAAAGAAGACACTGTGGGACTTCTTTAAAGAGGGGACTGTGATGTAGAGGGTACTACAGTGTGAAAGGTACACTAAAGATCATAATGTAACAGGGGACTGTGATGTGTTATATAGCTAACGAGATTTGGACCTCTGCTGCAAGGAAATTTTGCTGACCAGACCTCCGTAAATTTTAATTCAAAACCGCTGCCTTAGAAGATTTTGAAAGCATTGGACCCATTTGGATCTGTGTTGTGGCAATACACCTACTGTGGTGGTGTGCTGCAGTGCCATTCTTTTTGAATGCACTCCAAGGTACTAATATGATGTTGGGCAATGCACCCTACTGCAGTGGGACCACAATGCACATACTCTAGTACATTGCAGTACTATTAATTTTACACTTCTATTTCTGGTTCCTTTGTAGTGCGTTGATAGCCCATTCAAACAGAGTATCCAGGAATAACGTATTTTGACAGGAGTTGATCCTTCTACACTTTGGATGGACAATTTGTGTTACCATGGGGTGACAATGCCTACTATGCTGGATAATTTTTTTTATAGATCTATTAATTGCAGGAAGAAAGGATCTGGATGGAGCATCGGACTGGGTCAGTGTGGGCAACTGGTCCAATCTGCATTCCCAGAAGTCCATTGAGTCTGATATTCTTTTTTTTCTTTTTTTTTTTTTTTTTGGGGGGGGGTGTTAAGAGACATTAAAGATATGATGTGACCTTTTTGTTAAGGTGTTGCTACTAGTTAGCTGCCTTAGTGTGGCATGGTGTCCAAGAATACATTTTTATCATTTTAGTTAAATTGTAGAAACTCTTATAAATTATGTAGGATTTTTTGGCACATTCACGAATAATCAGCAAGATCTATAATGCCCCAGTGTCTCAGATGAAAATCGCCAAGCCTGGTCTATGGACATGATATTTTCCTCAAAATGGTGGCCATTTTTAAAGGGATGTGGCAACTACTGTCAACCGGGCTAGACTATTATTAGATGAATTGTAGAGAATGCTTCAACTGCTACTGGTTTTGCACTGGAGTGACAATGAAGTGAGCAAGAGAGTCTACCTCATCTTCAGATTCGATATTTATAACTGTCTACAGGGGAGCCCTGGTTGGGCTTGGATACCTGAGAAATGCAACATAATATTTTATCATTTGTTGATGCGTTATGAACACAAACTCATAGTCATTAAATTGAAACATCCTGACCCCTTTGATTAAAGTTTGTAGAGGTCTAATTAGGCAGGCCTTAACACTCTACAAACTGATATAAAGAATGTAAAACAAAGTTTCATAAGATGTGAACCCTCTGGATAAACTCATCACTTGTAAATGATGAAGTGGTTACATAGCAAGCTTTTAAACAAAAAAAAAAATAAAGTTGGGAGTGTTGCGCGTTTCACTGTATATACAGCATACTGTCTAGGGAATCTTGCATATACTATAAATGTAAAAATATCTATATTTAATCAAACAGGATATATAAAATGTGAGAGGAATTATTCATATTTTCTTGTTTGTGCTTTGTGATGTTTTTTGACAAATTAACAAGACTAACATACAATTACAAGAGTTAACAAAAATCCTCTAAAATAAAAAGCTGTGGATGATTTAGAAGGGTACAATCATTAGTTAAGTGATATTATTGTCATGTATTTTAAAGCCACTCATAAACATTAGAGATGATAATGAATTTTAGATGATGTTAAAATTGGAGTAAAAATCATAGGTTTAGATGACCAGATTCGATTCAGAATTAGTTTAAATTTTGGTGGTTCAGATTTCTAAAATGTAATTGTCTGCATGGTCCACATTTATAGCAGACTGAATGTGTGTGTTTAGGTTGAATATATGTTGCTTTCACCTTTTAAATATGCCACAAGACAAAAAGCAGTGATCAAAAATGTTTTAGTATAAATAGTCACATGAAAAGATCACAAAATCATTCCTGGACACTTTCCATAATACCTTGGGTAGCAATGCTGTTTGCAATGAATAACAAAAAAAATGTAAGCCAGTTTGGTAGGACATGCTAGTATCAGAAAGAGAGAGGATGATCAACAGAAGGAAAAAAAGGAGGGAAGAAAGCTGTAAAAAAAAAAGGGGGGGGGAGCTCTGGGTACAGTGGAGTAGACACAAATATGAGGACTGGGCCTACTAAGAGAGGAAATCTAAACACACTCCAAAAGTGTGCCTTCCTCAACTGCGGGGGGGGGGGGGGGGGGCAGGGGTACAGAGAGGAGGTTAGAGATGAAGTGGGACAGTATCTGAGGATACTGGAGCTGTCAAAGCATTGAAGGTGGGATAATGCTCCCATATCAACCAGAGAGTTCGAAGTTTATCCCACATGTCATTTTCTTGTGCCACAAGCTCTTCTATCCCCATAATATCATTGACTATGTGCACCCAGTGGGCAATAGAGGGGGGGAAAGAGATTTTCCATAAAGAGGCAATCAATTGATGGGCAGCAGATGAATAGAAACACAGCAGGCTTTTGGAGATTTTTAAGAACCCAGTAATTTGGACAATAATGTAATTTCAGGTGATGGGGCATGAGACTCAACATAAATCCTATTAAATATAGAGAAAACTGAATGGCAAAAAGGGAATATCCCACCTGGGGAGTATCATGAAATCAGTGGGCTCGTGTGCAAGATCAAAATTGGGCCCTAGGCATCAAGAAAGATAAAAAATGTAGCGTGCAGAGCGAAAAGTGGTTGTGGTTTAAATTATGCTAAATATCGGATGTGGCTTATAGAGGGCGTGGCACCAGTAAGAGGAGAAAGCATCAGAAACTAGCTGGGAATCTCCCCATATCCCCAGAGAAAAGCTTTGAGATCAAGCGAGATATCTTGCTAGACTTGAATAGATGCTTTGAGAATAGACCTGGGAAACTAGTCTATCATGCAGGACAAGACTGTTGTGGAGAAATATAACCTGAAATTAGAAAGGCCAGTCCTGCTTTGGGTCTTCATAGTACAAAGGGTATTCTACCATAAACTGTTTTTACGCCAGAGAAATTGAATAAAAAGACAATGTAGCATCCAAAAAAAACCTCAAAACACGGGGGGGGGGGGGGGGGGGGAAGGGGGGGGGGGGGGGTGATTGGTATGGTCTAAAAAATATTCAACAGTTTATGCAGTGTATATATCTTTTAAGATATTTTTTCTACCAAACCAGGATACCCTTTTAGCATGCCAATGCTCCAGGTCCCTAAGAATCTTGGACAGCAGGGGGGCATAAATAAGGGCATATACACTTTATTTCCAAAAGTATTAGGATGCGTGCCTTTACACACACATGAACTTTAATGGTATCCCCATCTTTGTGGAGTTCAATATTGAATTGGCCCACCCTTTGCAGCTATAACAGCATCAAGCCTTCTGGGAAGGCAGTCTACAAGGAATGCGGACTATGGGAATTAGGAATGTTTAGGAATGTGTCTATGGGAATGTTTCACTATTCTTTCAGAAGCGCATTTGTAAGGTCAAGCACTGATGTCGGTCAAGAAGGCCTGGCTCGCAGTCTCCGCTCTAATTCATCCCAAAGGTGTTCTATCAGGTTTAGTTCAGGACTCTGCAGGCCAGTCAAGTTCCTTCTCCCCAAACTCGCTCATCCATGTCTTTATGAACCTTGCTTTGTGCACTGGTGCGCAGTCATGTTGGAACAGGAAGGGGCCATCCCCAAACTGTTCCCCACAAAGTAGGGAGCATGAAATTGTCCAAAATGTCTTGGTATGCTGATGCCTTAAGAGTTCCCCTCACTGGAGTTAAGGAGCCAAGCCCAATCCCTGAAAAACAACCCCACACCATAATCCCCCCTCCACCAAACTTTACACTTGGCACAATGCAGTCAAGCAAGTACCATTCTCCTGGCAACCGCCAAACCCAGATATGTCCATTGGATTGCCAGACAGAGAAGTGTGATTCGTCACTCCGGAAAACACATCTCCACTGCTCTAGAGTCCAGTGGCGGAGTGCTATACACCACGCTTTGGATTGCACTTGGTGATGTACGGTTTCCATGAAGCGCTCTATGCACTGTTGTTATGCTAATATAAAGGCCACATGAAGTTTGGAGGTCTTTAGCTATTGACTTTGCAGACAGTTGGCGACTTCTGCGTACTATGTGCTTCAGCACGCACTGACCCCGCTCTGTCATTTTACGTGGCCTACCACTTGGTGGCTGAGTTGCTGTTGTTCCCAGTTGCTTCCAGTTTGTTATAATACCACTAACAGTTGACCGCGGAGTATTTAGTAGCAAGGAAATTTCATGGATGGACTTATTGCACAGGTGGCAACCTATCACAGTACCACGCTTGAGTTCACTGAGCTCCTGAGAGCAACCCATTCTTTCACAAATGTTTATAGAAGCAGTTTGCATGCCTAGGTGCTTGATTTTATACACCTGCGGCCATGGAGGTGATTGGAACACCTTAATCCAATGATTTGGAGGGGTGTCCCAATACTTTTGGCAATATAGTGTAGATTTGATAATTGTGATGAAATGGCTGTCCCTAAGTAAGATACACATCTAGGTTTCCACTCCTTGGTCACACCAGTCTGAATTTTAAATTGTGCGACTTCCAGTGAAGTCACACAATTTAAAAGTCGGATGTCATTCCGACTTGAGGTGCGACTTGCAAGACATCTGCGGCTTGCAAGACACAGATGTCTATGCAAGTCACACCTGAAGCAGTGCACGCTCTACTTTAGAAATCAGTGTGGCTCCGACCAAGTCGGAATCTATCCTAGAGGTTAGAAAGTGAATGACAAGGAAGAGAGATAATGAGGGCCCCGATCTTAGACATGTTGAGTTTAAAATGACTGGCCCTTGTAGTAAAGCATCTGGTGCATGTGCTTAGACTCTGCACCCCTTTACCTCCTAAAGATCACACCCTTTCCAATTTGCAGATACCACAGAATGTCCACTGTTTTTTGTTTCCTTGTCTAAACCATTGCAAAAAAGTCTTTACTCCTACCTAGAAGACGGTGTTACTTGTAGCCATTACTTCTACAACACTACAGTATCAGATTTTTTTTTTTTTTTGGTTTGTCGCAGGATGATGGACTATTGACAGTTTCATAGTGTTCATCTAACTCTTTCATGTTGCTACTTTGTAGCAGTTTCTACCTTATTTGACCTTTCAGTCCTTTAATTGACTTCTTGACTGCCAATAAATTAAATGCATTGGGATTTTTATTGATCCACTCCACAATATTTTTTCAACTTAGTACTGGATGCATACTTTTTGTTTGATGGCTTCAGTTAGACAAATTCCTTTTTTGGATGTGTTATTTATCATATCCTGTTCTCTTTCATTTGGTTATCTGTATGAGACTTCCAACTTCTTCGAAACTTCAGTGTGCACCTTTTCTATTATGTTACCAATAGCCTACACATTGTCAGATAAGGTCAGGGATGCTGATAAAGCCACACTGAAAAACTTTCCAGATTAAGCCAAGAGTAGCAATCGTCAACTATGCAAGATCAGAGTCTCAGCTAATGGCCTTATCGTGCAAGGAATCTGATTTAAAATTTTTGAATGGGGACAATGTGGTGTCTAGGTTTTTTTAAAGGTAATGCTCAGGTTGCTTCAACAGAGCAGGGATTGCCTTGGAATGAACTAATGATTTTTTTTTATTTTTGTAACACTACTGCTTCTCAATGCCAGCACCATATCCCTCCTCATCTTTACCATCCTTCCAAACCCTCCTTTTCCTATGGTAGGATTATCAAAAATGGAGGATGAAAATGGTCCATTAGCAGTCCTACAAAAAAAGGCAGTTAAGCACCCTTGTGCAGGAGGAGGAAAAGTGCACACTGGTAGTGCTCGAAATAAAATCGTTATGAAGGAGGAGTAAATAGCACAATGGCAGCACTATAAAATAAAGTGTATGCATGCAGCCTTCATGGGGAAATGAATTCAATACTCAAATTCGTTTAGATCATTTGGATTTTAGTAAACTTGCGATTTAACTTGAATTTGTAATTGTCACAGTCAGTCAGTTCAGATCCACTATCTAATCATAATGCAATTCTTAGGTTTGAAAAATTCAGGGTAACCGAATTTCGCATTATTTATTCTTTTACGTCCAAAAATATTGATTCCTTCTAAACAGTTTTGATATATGAATATTGAATCCACCTGAAATATTGAAACCAAAAACTAATATACAGCAATCTTTTGAAAAAACTGTGAAGGAAAACCAAGGGCTGGGCCCACAGATTCAGAGGGTACACGATGCCCACACAGACACAGACACAGATAGCGGTTCTTTTACAACAATTACGTTTACTGGACAGTTATAGTGAACAAGTAGTTGAGCATACATAAAGAATGATAACAGCGCATAACCATACAGTAAGAATAATACTGTCTAACACTAACCCTGTACTTGCGGACTTTTCCCCAATGTCCATAAAGCAGCCTGGCTGCGCCTGAATGTTCCTGAGCAAGATATAACGTTGGGGTGCACCCTAAGTATTGTGCAATACTATTTGTAATCCAAAGGAAAGTGGAGTATGTCTCTTGTAGCATTCTGGTATATCCAAAATGTCACTGAACACGTGTGGTGCGATGTGCTGAGGCAAAGCCGCACTTACAGTTCCTTGGTAGGCTCTTGGTGCTTTTTCCTGATCCACTGGTCCACTCCAGAACCGGACCATACAATCACTTGTTTTCCGGTCTCATCGCGGTGAATCTTCCCTAGGTGCCGTCACCAGACTCCACTGTGAGCCATAAATCCTCTTCCAGGCTCCACACAGATTCTCCAGACGTCTTCAGCATACACCAGCCAGACACAGACTCCCTGTCACTTCCTGCTTTGCACCGGAACTCCTCTCCTTCCCAGAGAGTTTGTGATGCAGTAAGTAATTTCCTAATTGCAGCCTCAAACCTGCATTTACAGTTCACTATTCACTCAGCCCCTAAATTAGCATTATTTAAACTTTATAAGGTAAATAAGTATTAGTCTTGTCTTAGTAAAACTTCAATGCAAAATCGCTTCGTACTTTGCTGCCATCTACTGACCAAAGAGCATATTTCAGGCATATTACAGTTTAACATTGCACATCAGTATTTATCCACGCCCCACACCCTTACAACTGCAACATTTTTTGAATCCCCCCGGACCATTGAGTATATGAAACAAATGCCGAATATAACAAAACAAATTCCGAAAATGAATCGATTCATGATAACGAATATACTGTAATGAAACAAAATTCTTCAATGAATTAATGCATCTGAAATGAAACAAAAATGTCCTGCGTGCACATCTCTAGTAGCTGAACAGTAGTGTATTGTTGGAGATCTCTTTCGTTCCACATGTTAAGGACAGGTCTGTGGAAGGGAGGAGGAAGGAAGCAGGATTCTGATTTGCTACATCCATGGCTGAGACTGTGGCCACAGTCCCTTGAGGGACTGTGCAGCAGGAAGCAGGAGATTGACATGGCAGGCATGAGGTGCAGCTGTGAGCAGAGCAGAGCCCTGGGGTGTCCTGTATTCCGCAGAGATAAGAGAGCCCTGGAAGGCCTGCTAGGGACATGGATTCCTGTGAGGGAGAAAGAGCTGGCTTGATGGGAGAGTCCCAGAGTGTTGTATAACATCTCAGCTGGCCTCTGAGGAATGGACCATTGACCTGAGGAAGTCTTCACAACATCAATGGCGAGATGCCTTTTGGCAGGAATACTGTCGTCTTCCCTGGTTAGTTTGCCACGCAGATAGGCACATAGGCTCATTTACACGTTTCTCCAATAACCAGTCTAGGGGTGTTGCTTTTGTAGTTTTTATTTTTGGAGAACTTGGCTAGGGATGAGGGGGAGATGAGTGAGATACTCCAAAAATAGGAACTATAGTATGTACACTTGAGGACTTTATTTGATCTTCAGGGAAAACTATGTTAGAGTCCGTGCTTGAATCAAACAGTGATCTTCAGCTTAAGGCTGTGGTAAAAGTAGTAGTAGCAGTAACTTCTTTAAAGCCTCGGAGCAATATCCCTTTAAAGTAGGCCAAGTCGACAAAGCACTCCGGAACACCAGCCAGTATTTCCATTGGTAGACCCGCAGGTGACTTCCTAGAACCAGAGGGATGTCAGTACTCACAAAGCCCAAGAGTATCTGGATGCCTTCCTCTGTGATACCAGACCAGATCTTCAGTAAACAGCCCCTCAGTCAGTATAGCAGAACCCAAGTCTCAGAATTCAGACCCTCGGGTCTCCCACCTGAGGCCGCATGGCAGTAGCTGCCTAGGAGGGCAACATGCCCTCTCCCAGGCTGGATCAGTCTTGGACAGGAAAGAACCCAGAGCCCCATGTGCTAACTAAATATATACAGTTACCCAGCATGCCATAGCACCCCTCTCTCTGTGATAGACTGAGGCTGTGTCAATATTCATGGTGCAATCTGCATAACTCCACACCTATCATCCAGAAACTTCTACAGTTTCCTGGAGACAGAGGAAACTAGGCAGGCTAGTAGCACCTGAGCACACAAAACAAAGCTAACTAAATGATCACAGCTCACCAAGCATAGTGAGCTATCTATGCTTTTTCCTAACAAATATTTACAGCCACTCTGACTACAGAATGACAACTAAATTTACCTATCAAAAACACAACTAATTCTATCTATCTAGCCCTAGCACCTAACAAGGAGGGGGCTACAAGTATAACTTCAATTTGAGAGTGAGTGCTCCAGTGAGAGTTTTGGGGCCCCACTGCCAGCAGACTGTATAACTGTTCTGATGTAGATAGAGCATAAGAACAGTAGATAGGCCATACTGTTTATTTCATCCCCTACTGTTCTCTTTTAGAGTTATTATTTACTGTGGTTATTATTATGTTATCAGCTTGGTCGGTCTGCTCTTATATGCCCAGTGCATTTAGCAAAGCCTGACACAGGCAATAAGAAGAAATGAAAGTAAGAGGCCCTGTCCTAACAATTTTTTCTTCCTGTATTTTATATCAGATTTACTCTGTTGTTGCTATAATTGTTTATCTTCCCTTTATGTTACATAATTACATAGTAAATTTGGTTGAACAAAATCCATCCAGTTCAACCAGCGAATGTTTATCTTCCCTTTTCCGTGCCTGTTCAAGTTCTAATAAATTGCTTTGTATGTTTACTGGGTGGGACTACGGTACAGTGATGTCTTTACACAAGGAGGTGTCCATAAGCACACGGAGTGGAGTGTAGCATTCAGGAACTCCTATACATAGTATACTTAGTGCTGGGCAAGCACTTACTGAATATGAGTCTTTTATTTGCTTTGTACATTTTAATTGAATAAATATAGTTTAGTGCTATGATGGTCACACTTTCCTTAGTTTAATCCTTAAATATTTATATCATTGGAATTGTTAAGCTTGGAGGACATTGTG